CACTCCAAGTTGAGCTCTGTTTTGCATGAAAGCAAACAGCAGTGTGCTATGAAAAGGAAAGAAGTAGCTGCAGATAAAACTTTGCAAAAAAACCCAATGCTTCCTGTTAAGAAATATATTAAATGCATAGTTTTTGTTTTTTGCATGGAATTTTTGCTTGTGTGTCTGTAGTCCGTGTGCTTGTTTCTTTGGTACTTCAAAACCAGAGCGCTAGTTCACAAATTAAAATCAGAAGGTCTCTATTCTGTGCAAGACAGCCAGGTTTTACAGTCTGAATTGACAATCGTAGGATTGCTATGAGCTTGTTTATCCCCTCTTCCTCTATTTATATCACACTTCTCTCTCTCTCTCTCTCTTTTTGTGTGGGGTATGGTTAACTGGCACCAGGCATTCACCCAATATCTTAGTGCGAGAGACTGTTCTTTATATTAAGTCGAGACCATCTGTGTGGACAAGCTGTTCAGCCTTTTCCTGTGCTTTTCCAGTTGGCAGCATTGAGCGCTGAGGACTGTAGCCAATATTGCAATCCCTACCTCTGGATTGCTGTGCCCAGCTTTGATTCATTGTTGAGATCAGCGAACAGACTGGTACAAACTTAGAATGCGAGGTCGTTTTGTTTTTTACATCGTTGAACCGTCGTGGGAATTTCAAACATTAGTTATAAAATTATGCTTCCTTCATTTTAAAAAAAAAGAAAATTTTCCACAAGAATGAAACACAATTCCTTTATTCCACCACCCCCTCTCTTTTTTTTTTTGCTATTTCCCCCTAATTAGTTTCCAGAAAATAATGGTTGTTGTTGTTGTTGTTAAATGCCAGTTGGTACCTAACAGAAAAACCAGAAGGAGGAGTTTTAATTGCTGAGAATGTGTGCTTGGGCACTCCCAGGTTAAAAACCAGACCTTAACCACTTATAAGAAGGTGATAAACGATAGTTGTTCTTCATATGACTGGAGTTTTTATTACTTTATTAGTAATAATAAAGTATTCTGACACCAGCACTTGGTAATATAATCTTGGATGACATGTCAGGTCAGTATTGAGGGAGTGCTACATTGTCACTGGTGCTGACTTTTGGATAAATTGAGTTCCCGACATTCTAATCCATTTGCAAGAAACGAATGGATGCACCTGCATTGCTGTGGCACCTTTTCACGTCCTTGACCTTCAAAAGTTTTTTATTGTCAATGAAATACTTTTTGAAGTATTGTCACTGTAGAAAAGTAGAACCACAGACTTTGAGTTAAGCAATACAATAGAACATTGAATCTGGATTTCTCTGAGCAAATTACTGGACTTGTACAGGTATTTAATTTGGATGTTAAATTTATGGTGCTAATTGCCAATTTAGAATAACTAACACTATTGATTAAAAGGTAAAACTTTACATTTCTAATCACCCCCTTTAAATCCTATTACCGCTTTTGATGAGCAACAGATAAAGACAGTGTAAATTAAAAATTGTTAGTGCTCAATACAAGTGAAACCATAATCAGAAACATGAGTGGAGCGAATCCACTTGTATCGCCGCTCTCGTTGTAATGCTCCCTTTGCCACCATGTGAAATAATTGTTTTGTCTAAGTATGACCACAGTTTTTCAAGCAAATTTAATTTGTGGTAAAATACCCCAGTTGTTTTTGATTGGAAATTGATCACATTAGCCTTGGACAAGAATTAGAATAATAGAATCCCTTCTGTGTGGAAGCAGGCCATTTGGTCTTCCGAAGAACATCCCTCCCTATCCCTGTAACCCTGCATTTCCCATGGCTAACCCATCTAACCTACACATCCCTGAACACTACAAGCAATTTAGCCAATCCACCTAACCTGCACATCTTTTGGACTGAGAGGAAACCCATGCAGACACAGGGGGAATGTGCAAATTCCACACGGACACTCTCTCAAAGTGGAATTGAACCCCGGTCCCTGCTGCCTCACAGCTCCAGTGCTAACCTCTGGGCCACTGTCGCGTTGCTGGTTTTTGGCCATTTGCTAACATGTTGTGGCAGTGGACCGAACTTTAAGCTCTGGAAGCACATTTTATTTAACACGTTCAATGGTTGGCCTTCCTGCTGCCTACCCAGCTGCCCCCCACCTTTTTTGTAATCCTACAAGGAGCAGAAAGGGTGCCAACCAGTCCATACCCCATGGATATACTGAGGCCCTTTAACTGGTCACCATGGTGGGGAAGGCTCTCACTAAACAGGAGGTCTGGTAGCATCAGCTGCAGAGAAGTGTATAGCCCAAGGGTGTGTCTGTGATGGGATCAGGTCCCCAGCATGTCCATCCGAGGACCATTTTAGCCCTCCCTCTGATCTCTTGAACCCGGTCTCCCACCGTTCTCGCTGAGACTCTTGACCCAGGACTTACCTGGGCTCCTCGTCATGGTTAGACAGGCTACACCCTCAGCAGTGGTCATAATTCCAGGTTGCGGCTGGTGGGAATGGTCTGGGGGCAGGGTGGGGCAGCAGTGTTGCTGGCCATTTGATTGGCAAACAGCTCTTTTAAGGTGGGACTTTCTCCTGGGTTTGGTAGGAGCTGGTAGAGCCTTGCCTGAAAGCGTTTAACACTGCTGCCCATGTTTGATTGCCGTTGGAGAAGATAGTTGAGAGGATTTGGGTGTGGGCATTGCAGCGACAATGTGAATTGTAGCCCAGTTTCTGCCTCACAGTCAATGGCTTCCTTTGGCAGTGCACTGTGTATTGAGCTGGTAGAATGAATGGCAGTGTGATTTTCTTTTGTATCTTGACATCCAGATTAGAGAGCACCTCAGACAGTGCAGCCTTTTTTCAGGTACAGTGGTGAAATCCAATCCTAGATTATTTGTTCCAGTCTCTGGGATGGAACTTTCATCTTGTAACCTTCTAACTAAAGTGAGACTGCTGTTGCTGTGCCACGGTTAATGAATACAATTCAGAGGGAGTAGTGTTTTTAAAATTCTTTAGTGGCATGCAAACATCTCTGGCAGGTCAGCATCTATTACCCACCCCTGACTGCCCTTGAGAGTGTGGTGGTGAGCTGTGAATGAGTACACAGTAACTGTGATAGAAACCACAGAAAAGGCTGTAAACCTTCAAAATATCTTTACTATTTTTCAACTTTCATGATATCTGTAAATGAACCATCACCCCTGTGTAAAAACAAAATAAAATCAGGTTTCCCCTTAAAAGCACACAAACCATCAATTTTTTTTTTTAAGAATGTTATTTTAAATGCATTGCTTATTTCCTGTGACTGCATGAGCTTTTTCTAGTCTCATGTATAAATTTTTAATCCTATGTAGATTGCACTCAGCATCTTCAGCGAGTGAATCTATTTGAATACATTGGAACCCTACAGGATTTGATCTGTAGCGCTTTAGTTCAGGGAACATTAAATGTTAACGCTGTCAATGTACTTCTCATGTGATGTTCTTAGTTCATCACAATTCTAGCCATGTGCTCAGCTCTTGTTTCAGATAATCTCTGCAGATATCACTGAACTGCTGCGTGGTTTTCTGAAGTGTTTTGTGGACAGTTACCCATGCTACAACCCCACAAGTATCCTGTTGTAAAATTAGAGTGATAGCAGAGATGGTGTTGTGTAGAGTTCTTGCTTTCTGCATAATTAAGTATATGTAGAAGGCTGCAGAAAGGTTGCAGGCAGAATAAGGTAATGTAATGTGATTTAAAAGACATCTGGCTTAAGGAAGGTAGGAACAGGAGTAGCCCATTCAGCCTCTCAAAGAGACAATAGCTGATGTTAAAAGCTGAAGCCCATATTTTGGAGTAGATGCTGTTTAAGTAAGACCTCAGAATGACTGCCATGGTACACGGTTTACTAATTCTCCTGTCATTGCACCATCCTGAGCATTAGATTCAACTACTGATGTTGCCTGTATGGGAAATTCCTGATATTTCTCTTCATGTTTTTTAATGTATGTCTGTTTCAGAAACAGGACTATTCCAATATTTAGAGCTGTAATAGGGAATCTCTATTAAATTTAATAGAGGTGATTTGTCAATTAAAATGGTAGCTAAAATAATCCTGCTTCTATTACCGCAACAGGAGGTAAATTTCATTGTTAGATGGACTTCAAAAAAGGAGAGATGAAAGTCGATCTGGAGAATAAGATGAATGAAAGGAGAGAGTGATTTCGCAGTAAAGCTCTGTTGCACACCCAGATTCCTGCTGTCACCCTATTGTGTTTTAGGTGTAAGGTTTCAGATTTAAGCTGCCATTGTCTAGCTACTTCACCTTGGAATTGTATGGCACAGATTCTTTTCTGTAACAATAGTTCCTTTTAAGCTGTAGGGGCATCTGAAATGTTGGTGTACATTGGAGCTCATTTCTCACCGGTAGTTCAAGTTGAATTCTGCCTGTCATTTTAAACTTTCTACCACATAACGTCCTAGAGTAAAATTAAGAAAGATGCTTAACTCCTATAATTTTTCATACATTCGTTGTGCAAATGCCGTGGATTCATTTAATGATAAGGATTCCCTTCAATATTTTCCCCTCAATGCCCAATATGATACAAAGCTCATCCTCTATGAGATGATCTCCTTCATAAGACTAGTGTGTCTGTTCGACCACCTAGTTAACGGTGCAATTATCAAAACTTGAAGACTTGTCTCTGGATGTTTCAAAAACAGCCAGGCTTACTAAAGGAGCAGGAAAGCTGACATTTTGGGTCTAGACCCTTCTTCTGAAGAAGGGTCTAGACCCGAAACATTAGCTTTCCTGCTCCTCTGATGCTGCTTGGCCTGCTGTGTTCGTCCAGGTCTACACCTTGCTGTCTCAGATTCTCTAGCATCGGCAGTTTCTACTATCTCTGTAACAGGCTTACTAAATACTTATTTTAAACAGAATCATTTCAATCAGATATGTGACATGGCAAAAACAAGTGGTTAACAAAGCTCTTGGTAATCTAGCTGATAACTGGTAGAAGGTGTAAGTGAATGGGTGAGATAAAGAATGCATGTTTATTTCACAAGTACTTTGTATGTTATCTTCCCAGCTCCCCTTCGAGATGGAGGTCTACTACATCCAACACATCACACTATACATCGTTCCGATCTATCTGTTGCAGAAAGGGGGTAAGCTTCTTGGATTTTTAAATATTTCAAATGCCAAACTCAGTTGTAAGTATGTGATTAATTACACATTTTTCTACGTTGCCTCAGCCAGTGGCTGTTGACCGAGTAAATGCTTGGCCTAGTGGAAAAGCAAACGCTAAAACCAGAAACATAACATGATTGATCACTGGTTTATGCTGAATTCAATGATCTCAAGAAATAATAATGCACTCGGTCTCTCCCTCCATGCTCGGGAGGGAGAATCAAGAGGGAATTCTGATCCTGATCTCTGGCCAGTAACTCAAATCTGACAAAGTGTATCTGGGTGTCAGATGAGAACAGAATTTGGTTCTTCTATAATGACTCTTACAGCTAACAAATTAGTTAGACTTCGTCATAAAGAACGAAACTTGGACAAGATACTGGAAATGTTGGCAGACCAAGCAAACAATGGTACATTCAGGAGAGGAGGAATATTGGGTTGCTCAATGGAGTTTCTTTTAAAAACATTTGAATGGAACTGGTCAGTACATTGTATTAAAGCCTGGTTTTCCACCTTGGGAGATCAAGACCCAAACAGCAATTACTGAAAGCTAAACCTAAGATCCCTGGCTCTGGGGGTGGGAGCTTGAGCACACCCATTCAGGCTGCTTCTATTAGAGCCATAGAGCTGTACAGCATGGAAACAAACCCTTTGGTCCAACTCATCCATGCCAACCTGATATCCTTAATTAATCTAGTCCCATTTGCCAGCATTTGGTCCATGTTCCTCTAAACCCTTCCTATTCATATACCCACTGAGATGCCTGTTAAGTGTTATAATTGTACCAGCCTCCACCACTTCCTCTGGGAGCTCATTCCATACATGCACCACCCTCTGCATGAAAAAGTCGCCACTGAGTTCCGTTTTGAATCTTTCGCTCTCACCTTAAACTTACGCCCTCTAGTTTTGGACTCTTTTCCCCCCCACCATGGAGAAGAACAAAGAAACATCTATTCAGTAACCATAAAAGCAACAAATTTAAAAGGCATCCAGAAGGGTATATATGGGAAGGGTTGAGAGGGATATGGGCCAAATGCTGGCAAATGGGACTAGGTCAGGTTGGTGTGGATGGATTGGACTGAAGGGTCTGTTTTTGTGCTGTATGACTGTCTAATGTCCATGACACTGTTGCAAGCTCCATCCTGCAGGTGACAACCCTGCACTAACCTATTTATAAACCTGACTGACTGATGGTCAGCTGGGGCCATCTGCTGGTGACTTGCAGAAATTAACATCAATAGTCTGGATTTTGTTTAGATTATAGCTATCCCCCGAAGCCACAGAAGTTGTGTTCCTGAAAATATTAGGTAATTTTACATTTGAATGTTTTTATTTCAACTTTGCCTCATTGCTAAGTGGCACCTTTGTAAAGTTATCTTTTATAGACCTGCCAGAGATGGTAAAGCTTGTAGGAAATAAGCTGTAAAACATAAATTTGAATAACTGAAACCCAAACCAGGTTGGCAGTTTATATGAGGTAACAAGGTGTAGAGCTGGATGAACACAGCAGGCCAAGCAGCATCAGAGGAGCAGGAAGGCTGACGTTTCGGGCCTAGACCCTTCTACACCTTTTTATCTCAGATTCTCCAGCATATGCAGTTCCTACTATCTCTGGCGGTTTATATGATTTGCTCTTTGCATTTTGTTTAACAAGGGCCATTGTGGAGAAAGTTGAGAAGTGCTAGTTATGTGAAAATCAAATTATTTGATAACTTGCCAAGGAACCATTCTTAACAATGGTGCACACTGTCATAGGAGGAGAATTAAGCTTGCAGAAGCAAAATATTGCAGCTGCTGGACATTAGAAATAAAAATTGAAAAAGCTGGAAATATTCAGGTCTGGCAGTGAAGTTTGATTTTTCGCTGCTTCAAAGATAGCAACATTAAAGGTTATGTGTCTTGTTACTGATAAAGAACAGGTTGCAAGGTGGTATTGATAAGTCAGTACGCAGTGAATTCTCACTAACTAATGGCACTGCACGAACAATAGCAAAATACCGCCGTCTTTGGGAGTCCGCAGTACAAAGCGAAAATGCTTGAAACGCTAAGCAGGGCACATTTCACATCAGCAGGCTGGTTGGTTTGTGAACAAATTCTGGCTATCGAGGAATATGGATGAAAATAAATGGTGTTAAGTTCTTCTCTGGTGATGCAACAGTTGGTAAGAGCTGTCCATGTCTGCCTGTCGGTCAACTCTTAATCCTAGCTCTGCAAATCGCAGCACCGGCATCAGTTTCTGTTTAAAGTGTTTGGGCAGCTGCCCTCTGGGTTCAATGTTACTGAAGTACAACTGAGTGTGTCTCACCTAAGGGGCTGTTTTTCATGTGTGAGCCCAGACTCTGGCATGGCATGTTGTTAACGGCCACTGTGGCGAAACCTTGCTCTGTGGCCAGATCTGATTTTCATGTCCTTCATGGTAACAGTCCCTTAATTGTGATCAACAATCCTTGCCAGATCACCCCCCGACAACACCTCCATCCTCACATCCAAAACAAGTGAACTGGAAGTCTCCAACTGTTGTCCAGTTTGAAAGGACTCCTTGACCAGCTATTTCTAGTTCTCCTCCATTATTTTCAGTAAGTACTTCATAAGCTTTATGCTTTATCTTCCAATTTTGGCTGTTTAATGTTAAGATCACAGCTGATGGTAATAATAGACAAGTCAGATCTCAGAGTGAAATCTGGCTTGATAGACCCTAAGTTTTTATTTTTGCTCTTTAATTACTGTTGGTCAGTCACTGGACATATCAATATAAGGCTGCCAATGTACTTTTAACAAAAAAACATAAAAGTCTATTATTCCAAATTTTAGATTTTAAGCAGCAAAAGTTTTGATTTGATTTGTTACTGTCACGTGTACCTTGGTACAATGAAAAGTTTTTTTTTGTTTTGCATGCAGTACAGGCAGATCAAATCATACAAAGTGCATCAGGGTAATAGAACAGAGCAAGGAATACAATGTTCGGCTGCAGAGAAGGCACACAAAGAGCGAGGTCAACATTTATATTTGAAATTTGAGAGGTCTATTCAGAAGTCTAGTAGCAGCTGGGAAGAAGCTGCCCTTGAAAGGAGAGATTCAACCCTTTTCCCAGCAATATCCTTTCACAGTCACTCATTCCCAAAGAAGCATCACATCTATCTTAACTTTTTACTTTTGTACTCAACTGAGAAGGTTGTAAGTGTCTCTGATTGATCTTTGTGCACATTCTCTATATGTGGTCTCTCTGTCACTGAGATCCCTGACATCACCTAATCAGTTCACTTTTCTCAACCGAATTTAAAACAAAGCTCCATCTACTTAAACTTCTAAAACAGTTCAAGACTTTATTTCTGTCTCTGATAGGTTAGTGACTGCTACAAACTTAACTACTGTTCAGCTTCTTTGAATCTTTAAGTTCTCAACTGAAACCTCATTGCTGGCCTTTGGCCATCTCTTTCTTCCAGTATGTCATAAATACCATAGGTAGTTTAGTTATCACTTCTTATGTTGCAAACTTCCTTTTTTTCAAAAGACCATTTTGAGCTTCCTGTTGGAAAAATGACTTTCTGACCCTTTTTAGACCTATTTACAGAACTAAAACCAAAATAAAAACTTCACCTCCACGTTAGAACCTACATTCCCAAATGATGATGTATTATAAGTTTACAACTTGTGGCCTTGGCGAGCCAGTTGGTTCAAGTGACCATTAGGATGGGCAATGAATGCTGGCCCAGCCAGCAATGTCTGCATCTCGTGAAGGAATAAATAGAAGGAAAAAATAATCTTGTATGTAGCACTTATCTTGCCATCAACAAAGGACAATATAGAACATAGAACACTACAGCACAGTACAGGCCCTTCAGCCCACAATGTTGTGCCGAACTTTTACCCTAATCCTAAGGTCTATCTAACCTCCATCCCGACCTTATACTATCATCCATATGCCTGTCTAATAGCTGCTTAAATGCCCCTAATGAGGCCGACTCCACTACCCTCTCCAGCAATGCATTCCACGCCCCTACCACTCTGAGTAAAGAACCTACCTCTGATGTCTCTCCTATATCTACCTCCACTCACTTTAGAATTTTCTGAAGGAGGGTCTAGGCCCAAACCGTCAGCCTTCCTGCTCCTCTGATGCTGCTTGGCCTGCTGTGTTCATCCAGCTCTACACCTTGCTATCTCAGATTCTCCAGCATCGGCAGTTCCTACTATCTCCATTTGTACCTCTGATCATTTTGTACACCTCTATCAAGTCACCTCTCATCCTTCATCGTTCTAAAGAGAAAAGCCCTATTGCCGTCAACCTTTCCTCGTAAGACCTTCCCTCCATTCCAGGCAACATCCTGGTAAATCTCCTCTGCACCTTTTCCAATGCTTCTGCAACTTTTCTGTAATGAGGCGACCAGAATTGGACACAATACTCCAGGTGTGGCTGAACCAGGCTTTTGTATAGCTGGAGCATAACTTCACGGCTCTTGAACTCAATCCCTCTATTAGTGAAAACTAACACACCAAAAGCCTGCTTAACAACTCTATCCACCTGGGTGGCAACTTTCAGGGAACTGTGGACATGAACCCCAAGATCCCTCTGCTCCTCCACACTGCCAAGAATCTTTCCGTTAACCCTGTATTCTGCTTTCAAGTTTGTCCTTCCAAAATGAATGCAGGATTGGAGCATGTATTTCCTCATAAACAGCAAAGTACTTGCAGCCAGAACAAGCCAGCTTGAAACTCCATAAATGCCATTTTTGAAAATGAAAGATTGCATCACGGTCAGTTGACTACAACACACTTGTTTCAGTAATTGTGTGGCTCGGGAACTGGTGTAGCAACAGGAAGAATCCTTCCTACAGCTTTTTTTGCTTATACATCTCTCGGTTTCACTGATTGAAGGAATGTTTTTGTCACGTTGAATTGGACTTTCATTCATAGACCTGGCAAAGCTGCTAGCACTGGCAGTGATACTGTTTCCAACTTTCAGTTCTTTATTTTTTATTGA